ATTCATCATTCAATTCATTCTATATTTTATTCTGTAGATTGTGTACATTACTTTTCACTTTACTGCTTGTTGCACTCCTGGTTGGAAGCTAAACTGCATTTCGTTGTCTCAGTACCTGTAATATGTGCAATAACAATAAAGTTGAATCTAATCTTGAGCAGGAATAAATGTATTTACTTAGTACATATCTGACATTAACGATTAAACACATGTGTGCATTCTTTATAAATGCAAACCGAGTCAAGCCGACTCCGGAGGTGGCGGTATGCACCTTAAAGTGGTTTGCAATCCGCCAAAAAACCGAGAGAAGAAGAAGAAGAAGAAGAAGAAGAAGAAGAAGAAGAAGAAGAAGAAGAAGAAGCCGAAGCCGAAGCCGACTCGGAGCTGTCGGACTTCAGGCGAGCTTTTTGAGACCTCCCCCGGCTGCGATCGGCTATTCTCGTCTACTTTCGAGGCAAGCCGCAACGGCCGCCACGCGTCTCAAACAAGCCTAGAAGCGTCCGCAGCGGCTTGGCCCCGCCCCTCTCTATTTCCAGATGCGTGCTCGTTCACGTTGTTCCGCAAGGCACGTTCAAGTGGACGTCCTGGCTGCGTCACTTGCGCGCCGCCACGCTCCCTTCCGATGCACTTCTTTCCCCAAAAGCCTAAAGATAGATGTTTCGTTTTCAGGTGAGTGTTGTACCCTAAATCCCATGAGTCCTATTCCTGAGGGCAATGTCATATGTTACACTGAGCTCTGTTAGTCATTACAGACAGTGTGATTTATATGCTGCATGGTGTCTATTGTTTATGCGACTGCTGAATCCATTGCGGTTGGCGGCCTGTGAGTCAGCCCGCTTGCCTGGTGACATGAGCCAGGGGTGAGCTCCATCCAACGGGCAGTGTTTTATCAATACATCTCACTCATGAAAGGGCAATGTTTTAAAAGTGTCCAGCTGTATCTTCACATTAACATGCGGGTTAGTTTTAAAGCAGCAGTTTTACATCGACGTGGGTCTTGCGTGATATAACGTCAGCATTAGCATTGTTGCTAACTGCTACTCCTGCTCCCTCCAGGTTGTCTGAAAGAAGTCCCGAGTTCTCTTTATTCATATTGTTGGGGGAGATACTAACAGTTATACTTAACGCTATCTAAATATTATTATCTCGATGTAATGCTTTTCTCAGTGAGTGTTCCTCCTCGCACTCTACACTCTATAACTCTACGTTACGAGTGCAGTTGGACTAGTCTGAAGTCAAACTGGATTCTTTAAACACCTCATTCTTCACTTTTTTCATTAATTTCCCACATTTCGACCTCTGCCGTGCATCTCTGTGCAATGCTATTTGTCATGTTACCATGGCAAGCCAAAACAATTGTTAAACTTGCATAAATGATTGGCTTAGTGAAAGTATTGTCCTAGGCTCATGGCCAACAGTTGGGACTCACATTGATCATCACACTTATTTATATGGTGTATGTGGCATGATAAGCAGTAACCACTATACTAGTGTGTTGATGCACTGATACTGATAGCCCATTTTCTTTTAGCTTTCTGCACAATTTAAGAAACACAGTGGGAAGCTGATAAATGAAAAATAAAATACACAGACCTTGTGTAGTAATGCGGTATGGGTATAACCCATCATTTTTCTGAACCTGAACCGACCTTAAACCTACAGGACTATTCAGGTGTCCAGTCACTTAAACCATCATGTCTTGGGGTCAACTGATGACCTGAGCACTGTTCTATACAAATAACTAAATGAGAGACTCCTTATATTCCAGTGTAGTTCCTTCCCATGATGCTGTTCAGCGTAATCAGTGACCTCTCTTCTGTCTCTTATCTCTGTCAGACCACGATCAATATTATTATTATAACATAATGCATCTCAGCATTTATATAACATTTATAAATAGTTGTGCCTTAATACTTAGTTTATACATTGTTGACCCTCTCTAAAAGGCCCACATATATAGTATAGAATATTTGTTCTAATATGTATGAAGTTAGAATAGAATTTTCCTTTTTTTGAATTACAAGAATGTTTGTCAATTATAGTATTTAGAAAGAAAGACAATCTGAATGGAAGGGATTCACATGTCCAGGGCCCTTGTTTTGTTATTGCAAACATTCCATAATGTTATTGCAATCTTGGAATGATCCCTTATCAAGGTCCCAACCTCTCAGTCTGCTTCATGAGATATTTTACAATCTTATTCTTGTCATTTATTCTCCTCCTCCTCGTTTCTTTTTTTTTGCTAACCATTCCTATTTTTCTTCCCTATCTTTTCTGTGATCTCCATGACTCCCTTCCACTCACTCTGTCTCTTGGCCCATCGTCTGGTTTCCACGCAGTCCCTGGATGAAGACTGTACGTTGGAGGAGGAAGATGAAGGGATGATAGAAGAGGAAGATGAAATCAATCAGTTTAACGATGACACCTTCGGAGCAGGGGCCATCGGTGAGTTATGCGTACAATGTATTGCAGAGTAGTTAGCCGATTACAAACCTAAATTCTGAACATAACCTGGTCCAAACCAGGTTGAGTCTGCAGCATAGGTTGTCCTGGCGATCTAGGATAAAAGAGATCCACCTCTGTATCATGGAGAACTCTGACTTTATGCTCAACCTATCTACGCTAACCCACTAATCTGGTTCGCAGTTTACCCCTCCTGTCAAAACCTGACAGTGAAGATATTATACTGCGTCTGTAGGTGCTCATGATTGTTGTTGGTCACCATCATTAAACACTAAAGCAGTGACCATCAACTGGCGGCCCGCGGGCCTCATCCGGCTCGCACAACGGGGGTGACTGTGGCGCTGGCGGAGTGCAGGGCTCGACATTAAGGACTGCCCGATGGCCAGGGGCCATCTAGTATTTAGCTCGGGCAATGAAGCCTCACCTGCTGGTTGCCCGATCGGGCAATCTATTATGCCAGTATCATGCAGCTCGCGGATCCAGTAATGAGTGACCCGACAGTAAAACTAAACATATTTATAACTAGTTTAGGTAGTTTGAGAGGTAATTAAAATAGCCACGAGTGATATTCTAACCTGAAGTGTGTGTTTTGTCCGCTCACCGCTGCATGTGATCATGCAGAGCTGCGTGTCGACTCGTCAGCAGCAGCTGATCTCTCTCTCCCTTCAGATTAGACTTCACTCGCGTTTATGTCCATATCGATCAGATCCAGCTAGTTCTAGCTAATGATATGACTACCTGCTTATTAGAAGACACCTAAACAATAAATGTCGCTATGCAACCGGGTGAGGCCATAAAGTATAGCGCAGCATTATGCATTTGTTTACATGCCCACCGGAACCCCGAGGCATTACCAACAGATCAACGCACAATCAACCCATACAGGACATCTCTTTCTCCACATTAAGTGTTAGACATTAAAATTGACTATTCTTGTCTGTCACATACTCTTCTTGTCTGTCACATAAGTGGCGCAACTGAAGCGGTATTGCGCTAAAGGGAAATTATTTTTGACCGAAGAGATTTAGATTTGCCGTCTAACGGGAACTCCGACGTCACCATGTTGTGTGCTTGTGGATGCGCTCGGCTCCTCTCGACTTCTGCTCGGGTCTGCTCGGTCAGCTTCCGGATGAGGAAGCATTCATTCGACCAACTTACAGTCGATAACATTACAAACATTTTTAACAGGGGCCATAATAGTGTAAATAATGTTTGTTTTGGCAGTTATAACTGAATGTAATGTTTTCTGCTTTTTTACATCTGGGAAGGCATTTGCCTTCATCAGATGGAAAGTGTCTTGACCAACAACTTAAGTATTTCTTATAGCTATGCAGGGCATGCAAGAGAGCAAACAAGAGCAAACAAACAAGTGAAATGAAGAATACAATTGAAATTGTACAATATAATATT